AATTTTAAGATAAGGATTGTTTATAATCAGATTTTTCCTAGTTAGCTTTAAGATGGAACAAAAGGTGGAAAGACAGCAAGAGAGCAGCAGGCAAGCAAGATTTACTACAACTATTTCGGGAGTAAAATTCAACAGCCAGTGGGAAAAAAGCAACTGAATTTTTAAAATGTTACTTGACCAAGTCTTATCGGGTGCTAAGACTTGTTACAAGAACAACTAATAATTTCCACGAAACCAAAATTCTGCAAATGTTTTATCTATCTAAAGGCAAATCAAATGCATGTTTCTGGGTTTTCCCAAAAGCCAAGGCATTTGATAGTTCATAACAAGCAGCAGAACGTATGGGGAAATGGAATGTCATCATTTAAAACAGTGAATAGAACATACATATGTTAGAATTATCCAAAATAAAGTTGAATCATGAATAGGTGTTACAGTTTTACTCAAGATGGAATATATATATATTTAAAAACCACATAGTTTCTGGCTATTCACCTTCAAAGGAATGTTGTCATTAATCAAGTGATTCTGAGCAACAGTGGGTTTAAAGAAACTTATATAACACTGCATAGGTATCAGATATGTGGGTACTAATGTTCTAAGGCCCAGATCTCATCCAGAAATCTTGTTTTCCAGCAAAAAATAAGACAGTTAAATAAGACTACTGAGGGGAATACTATGTATTTCAACCACATTGTAAAATTACTTTACCCAACTCTAGCTAATGTAGCAACCCTTTAAAGACACTGTTATGTCAACTGAATAGGATTAATAAATTAAAAATTCAAAAGTTCACAGGACAAATTCAAGGTAATCTTAACTTTAGAATTATAGCTAAAATATTTGTTATTATTTTTTAATCTATAGACAGTTCTTCAGATTGCATCTTTATTTCTATGTTCTCTTTAAATGCCTTGCAGCACCTTCTGGTTATCACTGAATGGTCAAGGCAGTGGACAGACTGGAAACTGAACTCTTTTTTTCCCTATCATCTGAAAACAGAACTCTATTTCTTGGATAAGCTAAAACACTTTGCAT